ATTTATGGCCCGAGTTCGGTCTCTGTCACATTATGTAATTACACAGACAGGCAGGTGTGATACTTGAACACATGACATGTTATGATGTCTGTTGATTGCAAAATGTTATACACAAAAAATGTGTTTACAAAACCCAACATTGTTTATGGTGTATAGCCTGATATATATACACACACACAATGAGCCGTGAGGGCATCTGCAAATGAACCAGCCGTTACACTTGAATGCACACCCACCCGCCCTTATGCAGCCTGAAATGAGAAATTTGATTTTTGTACAAACGTCAACGAATATGACCGTTTAATTAATCGGAAATTAATACAATAAATAATTAGTTCTTGCATTAAATGAAATATACAAATGACATTGTTTACAAAATGTTGAAGCTAAATGATGAATTGCAACATGAATTGCATTCTACCACAATACTGGGGCGGTGGGACAGCGGGGCAGCCTCGTGGTTAAAGCGTTCGCTCGTCACGCCGAAGATCCGGGGTTTGATTCCCCACATGGATACATTGTGTGAAGCCCATTTCTGGTGTCCCCAGCCGTGATATTGCTGGAATATTGCTAAAAGCGGCGTAAATCTAAACTCACTGCCACAATACAACGGGCGTGAACGTCACGTGAATGCTAATGACTTTAAGAAAATCCAAGTTTGTTCAAGGCATCATTTTTGCACTTAATGTCATTGCCCTTAACTATTTCATTTCAAATGCATGCCCATAGGTGTGTCAGCAATGGTGATGGAAATGATATTTTAAGAAGTTGATATTTGTTTAATTTGTGACGAATTGAAGAGGCAGAAAAGAATTCATGAAATGATCATGTTAAATATGCTGAGAATAGTTCCATGACGTGATGTATAAAAAAAGGATATCAAAGTCAATAACAGAAGCAATAAATTGCAACATGTTGCAGATTCTGAATTTGAATGTTAATATGCCACGTTTTGTTTCAAAATAAGTTACACACCACCAAAAGAACATGATTTGCCATTATTGGTTTATCAAGTGTACAACCAGGCTTTTCTTCCAGCCTTGCCTTGCTTGTGTCACTACTACAAGCAACCCAAATACATGCATATACGAAGATACCCGTGAAGGTCCGGGTTAGAATGAACCTTCGCGAACACCTGGTGTCATCACTAACTTAATGTGATTCAGTCATACAATTGTCAAAGCTATTTTCCCTTTACACGAGGATAGTCCAAACTGGGTATTTTCTTTTTTGAAATGACGTGTTACATTGAGCTATAATATATTTGTGGATTTGTGACACTGTTGCATGACATACATTTGCTCAATCCATCAAAATCCATAAAACAAATTCAGTAGTGAACATTGACTCGGGATTTGTGACTATGGTAGGCTTTCAGACAGGAACAGTTGCTCCTGCTATGACTTCGATGATCTCCCTACCCACCACACACATTTTGTGCCCGAACAATTTCACGTATGCTGAGCACTCCCGGTGATATACATGTATGTTCTGCGAGAAGTCCTGCATACGAAAAAACAGAAACTGGTTTCTTTCACGTTTGCCTTTGCAAATCACCCCTTGTCCCATCCAAATCACATCCTCTACACTAAACGCCAAAGGAAACGTTACCCTCCTTCCTTATTGACGGAGGTACCTATCTTCAGCTGGCGTTGTGATGCGTGGACGTCCACTTCTTGGTCTGTCTACGGTGACCATAGTCTGTCTGTAGCGCTGAATATGTCTTATAACCATGATACGGTGGCATCTGAGGGCGTTGGCAACAGCACTGTATGTCGACCCCATCTGCACCATCCCAATGGCTCTTTCTCTCTCTTCAGCTGTTAATCGTGGCATATTTCTTGTACTTGTGTATCATATTATGCATTCTAGACTATCTTTATACTCTATAGAATAATTCTACACGTGAAATTGATGCCAATACTGCTTGAATATTGCTGCGTTTAGGCGACTGATATTGCTGTGTGTAAACAGAAAACGGAAAAATGTTACTTTGCAAGCAAAAATGTTAACAAAGATAATTTTAAATGTTCTAAACACTTTTTCACAATATCAAAGACACGTTTTACTTTTTTTCATTAATGCAAATCAGCAGTAAATATTTAAAAAACTGAAATCACAGGAATGATTCTTTTACAATTTTACACACTCTATAACAGTTGTTTCTTGTTTTAATAGTTGAAAAATGGTGACTTTTAATGTATTATCTTTGTCTCAAAGCAGAATCTTATTTCAACCTTTCTTTTGGACATCGAAATCACTGTTGTTGGTTTATTTCGGCATGATCAAAAATAGGACAATTAAACTCTTCTGAAAAAGATGCAATTCACCTAAATATGAATGCATTTGAGAATTTGTATTCGTGATTTGCCGGAAGGCTTACTTTCGGGGAAAACCGCTTGATGAGCACTCGCTACATCTCTGCTAGATATGACAGAGTCCTTCCAGTTGGTGCAGAGCATGTGTTAGTAGCAGTCCAGTTGGTGCAGCGCATGTGTTAGTAACAGTAGGTTTGTCATAGGTCGAGAGAGGTAGCAGGACTCTTTGTTCTCTTCAGATTGTGACGGTCGAGAATGTTGGCTTGATGGATCCTGGATCCTACCGCCCTGACCTATAGCAGTCAGTTTTCGCCATCCAGTGGCTTCCTTGGTGGTAGGTCGTAGTCGCTTACTCGCCACACGAGTAAAGGGAAAGGGATGCTTCTCAGACGATACATCTTGAAGTTTTGCCAATTCCACCCTGCTGATAACAGTCAGGCGTGAATAAAATAAGGTATCCATAGCGAACATTTCTTCGGAGAATAGTAGTTCCAACAGTCTGGGGAAGTGCAATGGGGAGAGTCAGTCTCGGTCGGGTTTGTCCAGGTTTAGATGGGTGGGGTGCCACGGGGAGAGTCAGTCTCGGTTGGGTTTGTTCAGGGATAGATGGGTGGGGGTGCCACGGGGAGAGTCAGTCTCGGTCGGGTTTGTCCAGGGATAGATGGGTGGAGGTGCCACGGGGAGAGTCAGTCTCGGTCGGGTTTGTCCAGGGTTAGGTGGGTGGAGGTGCCACGGGGAGAGTCAGTCTCGGTCGGGTTTGTCCAGGGTTAGGTGGGTGGAGGTGCCACGGGAGAGAGTCCAGTCTCGGTCGGGTTTGTCCAGGTTTAGATGGGTGGGGGTGCCACGGGAGAGTCAGTCTCGCTGGGTTTGTCCAGGGATAGATGGGTGGGGGTGCCACGGGAGAGTCAGTCTCGGTTGGGTTTGTCCAGGGATAGATGGGTGGAGGTGCCACGGGGAGAGTCAGTCTCGGTCGGGTTTGTCCAGGAATAGGTGGGTGGAGGTGCCACGGGGAGAGTCAGTCTCGGTCGGGTTTGTCCAGGGTTAGGTGGGTGGAGGTGCCACGGGGAGAGTCAGTCTCGGTCGGGTTTGTCCAGGGTTAGATGGGTGGAGGTGCCACGGGGAGAGTCAGTCTCGGTCGGGTTTGTCCAGGGTTGAAGGTTTAGGTATTTTTACGAGCAAGAATATTCTGAAGAATGGTTTGGCCATGACAAGGGCAAGCTCGCTGGGTTTCATACCCTCACTCATAATAATCAGAACGAGGCAGGTTTAACGCTACCTTTAACATATACCTCTGAAGTTTTGCTTGTCTCTGACGTTTGCCATGGCTGCAATGCATGGAGTCACTGAACATCCCAGTAATCACAAGACTTGGCACCGTCAGTTTCCCCACCTCCTTTCAGACTTCATGTTGGCGAGACCCGTGAAGATCCGGGTTAGAATTGGTCTTCAGCAACCCAGTAAGAGGCGACTAACGGGATCGGGTGGTCAGGACTTGGTTGGCACATCATCGTATCCCAGTTGTGTAGATCGATGCCTCTGCTGATTGTCTGGTCCAGACTCGATTATTTACAAACCGCTGCCCTATAGCTGTAATATTGCGGAGTGCGGCGTTAAACAAACAATCCCAAACCAAACATTTTGGCGAGGTGAGTGAAGAGTTGTCGAGATTCTTGCACTGATATAATGTGTGGTTGTATGTAGGTGCCTTGACTAATGCTGGTTGTAGAACGCTAGCCCACCAGGATACCAAGTTGCACTTTTATATAGATGCCCCATTCAACACAGTATAGGGACTATACACCAACTACCTTTATCACTTTAATGCCCTGCACTTGGCATGGAAACAAATACCACCTTCTAAGAACTTTTTGTACATGATGGCTGGCTGGTGAGTGACTGAGTTTAGTTTTACGCTGCACTCAGCAACATTCGAGCTATATGGCGGCGGTCTAAATAATCGAGTCTGGACCTGACAATCCAGTGATCAACAGCATGAACATCGATCTGCGCAACTGGGAACCGATGACATGTGTCAATCCAGTCAGCGAGCCTGGCCACCCGATCCCTTTAGTGGCCTCGTGTGACAAGCATGGGTTACTGAGGATCTATTCTAACCCGGACCTTCACGGGTGGGTGGCTGGTCATCGAACCACCACCCTGTCCTCCTGGCAAACCTTCTACCCACGTAAATGGTGACGAATGTCATTTCCTGAACAGACAACTTTCAAGAGCAATGGCATCTAGGCAGTTCAGTATTGATGGCCTCTTATTGACAGGATTCAGTTCTGCACCTCACTGTTAAGCTTAGCCACCCCTAGTATGTATGGGTTTAAATAAAAATGGGGTCATCGCCTATTGCATAACCTCAATGAAACATTACCATCATCAGTGGCGATTCATACAGTCACAACAATCATTATTGCAGAACTGTGTGGCCATACTTTTCAGCATTGTTGATTGTCACATTTGTGTATTCCTTTCAGATTGTAACTTCATGGTAATGAAAGTTTAATTTCAGTTTTGTTTTTCTTTCACTCAGTCCTGTGTCACACTTAAGAGTTTACTATCATTCTGAAAAAGAAACGCCAGCGAGTCACACTATTTAGCACCAAGCAGACATTCAAGTCTGGGCTAGACCACAGAAGCCACATGAAGCCGAGATTAATAACAAAATGTCAAACAAAATTGTGAAAAATGTTTTATTGATGATGATAAATGATAAAATAACATGAAACATCTGGTTGTCAGCTGGAGTGCAATGCTGGCATCTGAAGGCGGGGTGTGCAATGCCAGCAGACGCCAACCAAGGTGCAATGCTGACAACAGACAAGTAAAATGTCTGTACTGTACCTCTCACATACCAACCTCACATCCTTCCACACTTGTAATGGAGACAGAAATAACATCCATCAACCCACTTGTCTGACCCCAGACTACTCCTCAGTCAGGGTTTGAAACACTCCATATAGCCGGTTTATGTGGGAATGTACATTCACATAGGCAACAATCCAAGAAAGTCTTGTCAGAAAGGTCATTGTCCCATTGCAGAATGGTGTCAAATATTCAAGATGTTTTACTTCTTAGCATATGAAATTTTCATAGCATTACTTGGTGTAATCTTAAATCCTTGCAAAGCCTCTTTAGCAGCACCAGCCTGAACATCAGTCTCAAATTCCACGAAGGCAATGTCGTGTCTGCCCGGGACAAGACGAACTTCTTTGAACCCAGGAAATCTGAAAAATAGGTGGGAAAACAGTTTTATATGTTCCAAGATGTGTTGATCATTTTCAATAACTGTCTTGAGACAGTTATAAGCTGCATGTATATCCTGTCACAAATATCACAAGAAGACAAAGTCATCAATATCCCCCGCAATGGCAAAATACTCTTCATGATCATGTCTACGAGTTATGATTATGTCAAATATTTAGGTGTGTATATAGAAAAGTGGAAGGAGAGTATTGAAAGGTTTTTAAAGTTCTGCTCCAGAAAGGAGCACTATCACCAATTTCAGTCTATGTCAAACTTGTTGCCATGGAAATGCCAAAAATATTTTATTCAGAAATCCAAAACTACCAAAAGGCACCAGTCCACCACCAGATCTATCTATGTGCCAAGTTTGGTGAAGACATATTGAACGGTTTTAGAGTTCTGCTCCAGAAAAGACAAATGTGCACGGACGGACGGACGGAGTCCATTTTAATACCCCCCGCAGCACGCTTTGCGGGGGGGGGATTAAAATGGACTCCGTCCGTCCGTCCGCAAAACGTACTGCGGGGGATAATAACATATAAAACGTACTGTTGACATGTGACTGACTTCAAGTGAGTACTCACTGATTGAACAACATGGACAACATCATTTCGTTGGTTTCCTCCGGTAGGTTTGTGATGAAGAGAATCTGGTTTGGGGGCTGTTCCGGGATGGCAGTGGATGGGGCAGCAGGAGCAGCTGCAACAGCGAAGGACAATGTGAGAAACATAAGAAACAGCTATTGCTCTCATCCCTCTATACTAAGTGTTAATAGAGTAGCCCAACATAAATTATTGATAAAAACACCCAAACAAACCCATGGATCCACCCAACATTAAATTCCAAAGCAAAATAGAAAATATTTTTTTGGGAATACTGCAAGTGGTGATATTTTCTCCAGTACTCACCTGCAACAGGTTGCATAGGGGGGCTGAGCCATTGGCTGGGCAACAGGTGCTGCTGGGGGTTGGGCTGGTGCAACTCTGCAACACATCAAGACTCAATAATTCAGGAAGAAATGGACAAAACCTGAATTTTCTGAGACTATATTTACGTGGCAATATTATGCTGTAACATATGATACGCTGAAACTTACTTCATTTGTTGAGTTTTTTTCTTTTTGCGTGGGGCTTCATCGTCATCTTTCTTCCTCCGTGGTTCTTCAACGTATGTCCCCTTCATCTTCGCAATCACATGGGAGTCTCGCTTAGAAAACTGTATCCTCTGCAATAAGAGAGATAACCCATATTCAAGACTTCAATTGAACTATGATCCTATTTTAGGAACTTAAACAGTCACTGTTAAAGCCCGGGAGTCAGTACTATAGTCTGCCTCTTAAAATGAAATGATTGCCATGTGAAATTTCAGAATTTCAAAATGAAAGCTTTTACATAGAAATAAGTGATGAACATTGAACATGAATAATCTAATAAATATTGTTAAATAATAACAGTATACAGAAAAACACATTCTGTCTATCTTCTACTACTGAAAACACTGTATTGTCATTGAACACTTCACACAAATCTGGACATTCATGATATTAGTGCAATTAGACAAAATTTATTTCATTGACAGGTTTTTACATGATAAAGAAAGGCAATCCAGCGTAAACTGTCCAGAACTAACATATTGGGCAATTTTCATTGTATCAAGTTCTTCACAAGAAATATGGAGGTCCTTTTTATTCATTAAATCTAGAGAACAATACAGTTCACAAGACCCACGTTTTTACTGTGAGGACCTTTGAAATTATCACTACAAAGACTGATATCCAGATATAACAGATAGGCGGGCCAAAGATTCAGTGTGAGGACAAGGATGCTCTTACATCATGAACATCGGAAGTCATGTAAATTCTTATCCTCACAACATAATTATAGCGATGTATAACCTTTCTTGCTGTTGGCATTTATTGATAACCAGCACCAAATTAAGCCCTCATTGCTAATGCTGGATCAGCTATCACATGTTTACTCTGACATGGTTCAGTACCTGTGCTGCTTCCCACATGTGACATCTGGTGTACAGGAATTTCAGTTGGTGATCATGCATAAAATGCTAATTTAAATTTGAAAAAAAAGTATGACATTCTTTGAATTAACCTGAACTTTCATTAGGAAAGTTTAATAAGACCAATGCAGTTGATAAAAGGATGGCCCAAGCACGTGTGAAAGAGACTAAACACAGATACACCTGATTGGTAACCAAAGGCAAATGGACTTTCTGGAAGAAGCAAATTTGAGGTTCTGTGTTATTTGAATAAAGTGAACAGGAACCTAGCAAGCCAATTTTTTCGTGTAAGCTCGATGGGTTGGAAAGCTAGTTAGATAGTATTGAGGGCTTGTCTAACCTTTAAAGCAACAATCATGTGAAAGCCCGGCCTTTTTTTTAAATAATGGTAGCTACGCCCCTGGGGAAGAAGGTAATTGCAATATGTTTCAACACAAATAATAAAAAAACGTAAAGATGGATCCATGCCAAAACTGATTTGTGACAAAAGGTTGTCTGCAGTCCAGCTTATTCCGGGGTTCATTTCCAGGATTCATTTGCAGAGTACCCCTTCTCCCTGACCAAAGTGAGAAGTCATCATTTGGATCATGTGACTGTTTTTACCATGGGTTTGTCATAGAAGGGGAATCCCTGCATTGATCGCATAGCATTAGCAGCTCTGTTGATATCTTTGAAAATCACAAAGGCTTGTCCTCTCATCTTCAGGGTCTTCAGAGCCACTATGTCCAGGATTTGACCAAACTGGGAGAAGATGGCATACAAGGACTTCTTGAGTTCTGAAATCAGGAAAATATACTAAATTCGTCAAGGATGCAGACATATTCTATTCACAGCAACACTGGTGCTGTCCTTACATTTCTGACCCATCATTGATGGATTACTTGACCATCACATTCTCATCACTATCACACATGGAGTACCCTGAATATGAAGGTAGTATGTGCTCTACACAACATAGATCTGTATCAACTGGGAAAATAAATACTGACTATCAATTTGCTTCATTGCAAATACCTTGGAGAAAAAAACTTTTAAAATGAATGGTACCAATTTTACTTTAACACATCAGAAGACTAATGATGTTTGGTACTGTTAATATTTTTTACATGTAATCTTAATACTTACCATCCTTTTTAATCTTTTCATTGAGGTTGTTGATGTACACAGTGTGGTTGGGCTGAACAGACATCGTGCTATTGCTTTCTGCAAAGTAGAACAAATTATTCAACTGCTATTCTAAATTGGCAATACCATAAAACATATTTTACATATGGGTCAGAAGGTACATTTTTTTTTGCACTGAATGACACTGAACATGCTGTAGAAAATGGCCGGTATGAATTGACATTAGTTGCAATGTTTCTCCAAGCTAAGGTTAACAAAGCTACAGCCTTCCCCATGTTTGTACCTGGCTGTATCCCTTCATGAATTCAATTTTATTATTCCTGATGACTAGAAACGAATATTCACTTTAAATTTTTTTTAAATGAGTGCTAACATTAATTTGTTAGTAAAAGCTATGTAAATGGCATATATCCACGACAGTAAGGTTAATAGTCAACACTCTAATATATTCAAGTATATTCAAGGGCTGTCAAGGTGGTAAAGTTATGTGATCACTTGTCATCATCATAAACAAGGGCTGTCAAGGTGGTAAAAACTGTCAAATCACGTATTTTATTATTGTTTCACTAAATACGCCAACCGCAGACTTCTTGTATTCGTTAGCCAATATTCATATTTATTACCTAGTATTCATGATATGTATCATATTCGCCTCAGTGGATTCGTTGCAGCCCTAGTGATTATTAATCGTTTAAAGTGACAGTGTCTTACCTGAAGCCAATAGGTTGATTATTGTACATTGTTATCGCAACATGTGTAGCATCATCCATTCAATTGGTAGGATGTAGATTAGAATATAATTCCTCAAACAAAGTAATGGTTGTTATCCATGCAAGTGCCCTAACCTTGATCAGAGATAGATAATCGTTAGTTGAACACTGATCATTTTAGCCGGCGTCATTTTACAGGAGTGTGTCTCTTCCTTGGTTCAAGACGAATTTCCTTAATTGTCTTTTTCAGAAACCATACTGGAGACTGCACCAAAGAGACTCAGACTGCACCCTGTGAAACTGCAGTCTATTAAGTGCATCATGGTGTCATTATTAGTCTTGAAACTCTTAGTATGGTAAGTCACATACATTATACATACTAGCATTAGTAGATTTACTCTGAAACTGCAGCACACAAATTAAGAAATAGAACCACATTCAACTAATGTAAATACCTTTAACAAACAACAAATACCTATTCCAGCTCCAAACGAGATCTTTGCGTTGGATTCCGCCGATTTCACCAAACGATGTCGTTGTTCTCACGTTGTGATGAGTTGAAAATATGGCAGCTTCCGCCAAATATCGTAAACTTCCGGTTAATTAATATTCATGTATTATCGTGTTATTTTAAAATAGTATTTGATAATGATACGCATAAAGTCAAAACGTTCATAAACAGCGTTCAGTGTTATAATATTTTCAATTTATTTAATAATTTCTGAAGATCACGGATGACTGTGACTTCGTCCGCCATATTATTTTGATAGGAGGACGGGGGAGGCTCACTTCGCAAAATGGTACGTTTCTAATATACTTATCTTCGAAAGAACTTACGAAATAACCACCCTGAAGGCATGACATAATACCTGTAAATGTGTATGTTGAGCTAGATTAACGACAGTTGCTGTTTTGAACGTAGCTGAGGTTGCGGAGCTTGTCAGGTTGAGTGAAGGAGGTGGTGTTTGGTCATGTGATTGCCTTGCAGTCGACGATATTACAGATATCAAAATGGCATTGTCAATGCTTACCAGCACGAGGGACTAAAAGCATGCGCATATGTATGCAACAACATGTACTCTGGGTGCTTAGAATACAAATTAAGTGTGAAATGTTGGGTGTTTTGTCGTTACTGACTTAGGTCAAGGCTCATGATGATCTTCCGTGTTAGAAGATGGCCTAATGATGGTACGATTGCATTGAACAATCCTATGTACATGCTGGGTGTTGCAATTCATCGGTATGCATTTTAGTTTGGAGCCAGTCAGTTCATCATGAGTTCGACTCCTGTAACACGGTTTGTGTTCATTTCGTGTAAGCCTTGTCATTTGTGATCGAAAAGATCGTGTATTCACTCGTGTAGACAGTAATATCATATCCAGATAATATGCAATAGTTAGAACTGTAGTACTTCTCACACTAACATATGACTGCTTTCCAACAGAGTTTAATGCAAATATTGCCACCCTCTTCAAGTTCATTCATAATTAGAGATATTCAGGTCATTGGTTGACTTCTTCATACTGTGCTACCCATGTTTATGGTAATCGTTGGTTAACACGAGAAAGTAGGAAGTATAGCTGCTTACGCTAGTAACAGGATCAATATTTGTGCAAGATATTTTCCTCTAATCCACACAATGCATGGCCATGATCAACTGGTATTAAACAGAAACATCCCTGTGTAACAAATAGTCTAAGCATGCTGACAGAAATGTCTTACATATGTATGAACATCCATGAATGTACTCAAATAAATGATCATGCAGTTTAGTGAGCGAGTGAGTTTAGTTTTACGCTGCTTTTAGCAATAGTCTAGCAATATCACGACGGGGACACCAGAAATGGGCTCCACACATCATGTACATTGTACCCATGTGTTGGATTGAACCTGGTGTGATGAGCAAACGCTTTACCGCTGGGCTACCCTATCGCCCCCATGCAGTTTAGAATCATTTGAGAAGGACATTGAGTTTGTTAATGACAAATGTTAAATATTCTGGAGGGGATCTGGAATTTTGAAAGTTGACATTTGTGAAACGAGATGTATCAACCAATAATGAAACAGGTTTTAGTCAGTGTGATAGAGAATTATACTATTGATTATCTAGTGTATTAACATGATTAATGTATAATACCTCCTTATGAGCACCCATGAGTATGATCCCCAGGTCCCATTCCTCCTGTAGCTTGTTTTAGGAGTCACAGCACAATCTTCATCTTTCATGTCATTTTCCTCACTCATCAAGTTGACACACAGTCGGTGCTTCATGATTTTTTCTTGCTGCTACAAATTTCTGTCTCAATATTAAGGCTGTAACGATTCACTCGCATATTCGGTGAATCGAACTGTAGCCCTTCATGAATTCAATTAGTTATTCATGGTCACCAGAACCGAATATTAACAAATATTTGCGATTTTTTTAAGGGAGCATGTTTTACTAGAACCCTTATGTCCTTTCCAAAGTGAGATATGCAACTGACTGACTGAGTTTGGTTTTACGCCGCCTCTAGCAATATTCCAGCAACATCACGGGGGGTGGGGTGGGGTGGGGGGAACACCAGAAATGGGCTTCACACATTCTACCCATGTGGGGATTCGAACCCGGGTCTTCGGCGTGACGAGCCAACGCTTTAACCACTAGGCTACCCCACCGCCCCGAGATATGCAAGAATGGAACATGTACTAGCATTGCAGTAGTACAAGTCATGTTAGTTTGCCAAGACTGCACATGGTACTGTCGATTATAACGATTATAACCAAATTTGAGTGTCATGAGATCACTGGTTATTGCTGTGACAAATCAAAACTGTCAACATGAGCGTTCCAACTTCCATATTGGACATCAATCACTTAACTATAATATTGTATTCATGAATAATTATTCGTATTCGTTACCCAATATTCATGATACATATCATCTTCGCCACATAGTGTATTCGTTGCAGCCCTACTCAATATATATGTAAAAACCCTACCTATTTGTTTCATCAAATCTTTATTATTCATTTAAAATCTGATGCATCTGATGTGTAATTCTACCATTTATCACCATGATCACTGTCCAGTGATTTCTATTGAGGTGCAGGGGCGTTGGGGTAGCCTAGTGGTTAAAGCGTTGGCTCGTCACGCCGAAGACCCGGGTTCGAATCCCCACATGGGTACAATGTGTGAAGCCCATTTCTGGTGTACCCCGCTGGAATATTGCTAAAAGAGGCGTAAAACCAAACTCAGTCAGTCAATATTGAGGTGCATCTCCATGTTAGTTGTGGTACTCGTGCAGGGAAGTTGGTTGTTACAAACAGCATGTTAGTCTTTTCCTTTTCAACCAAATTGTTCCCCATAATTACACATTCCCCCTCATGCAAAGCAAAATCAAGAGTGATTGGACATTTTTCACACATACTTTCAGGTGGGAGGAAGATGAAAGTGATAGGTCAAAACCTGAAACTAAATTTTTGAATGCAAGGCGTTCTAGTTGCTACTGGTTTGCATTATGAAACACATTTGATCATGTTGATAGGTGATACTGGAATAATATCCTCTTTCTTAGAGCATGTGCAGTAAATTGTATTTTACACAGAAATACAGAAGAAACACATGTATACATTTACAATTTTACCTGTAGGATACAGGGTTTTAATTTGGTACTACCACATTGATATCATCAGTCGACAAATTATGTTATGTTCAGGTCTGTGAATTTGTTGGGGCGGTTGGGTAGCCAAGTGGTTAGAGCATTTGCTCGTCACACCAAATACCCAGGTTTGATTCTCCACCTGGATACAATGTGTGAAGCCCATTTTCTGGTGTTCCCCATCGTGATATTGCTAAGAGCGTTGTGAAACTTAACTAACTCACTCTCTCACAAACTCGTTCGCTAAAGCATACAACTTTATGGATAACAACTGCTTGTTTATAGAGCGACGCTTTGTTCTTTCACCATTTTCAAGTTAAAAGTGTTTATGCTTTATTATTGACTCACCAAGTTCTAGAATGCCACTCAAAGAATTAGACGATTTAGGTAGATGTGTTAATTTCATTGAAAGTCTCAGTGACTTTCAATTTTATGTCACTTGTCCAGCTGGTTCAATCACTGAATGGAAACGTCCTGACTTTATCTGCCTATGTTGCTATTATTTCCCTGTAGTGGATGAAAGTCACACATGGTTCTATCAGAACTGAGCTTTCACATTTTTGCAAGTACACTGTACCTAAGATGAAGATGTGCATGATTTTGAAAAATGCTACCTACCAGTATTTTCCAAATGTGTTGTGATGTGTACTCACACATATTTCACATTGTTGTATACTTGTACTACCATGCACCTCTAGTTAGGGATACACACGATGTCTCACATAGTGCAATTGACAGCGACCATAGGAAAAGTAAGAAAACGTGGTTGCATCTTAATTCAGAAACAAAGGAGGTGGTGGGGTAGCCTAGTGGTTAAAAAGTTCTCTTGTCACGGGGATGGCCCAGGTTCCATTCCACAGATGGGTACAATGTGTGAAGCCCATTTCTGGTGTCCCCTGCCATGATGCTGCTGGAATATTGCTAAAACTCACTCACTCACTCACTCACTCTCATTAATTAACTGACAAAGCTAAGTTTTAATCTTTAAGCAAGTACCTTGGGACATGCCAGCATAAACGATCAATGTTGAAGGTAAATATATGGCATGGCATGGCAGAGGCTCAGTTAAGCTGCGTAAAATACGCTTAGAAAAATTCCAACTACGCATTGAAAAATAATTGCTGCTTACCAATTAAGCATTAAATGTTAGATACGCAAAAAAGTTAAAAACATATGCGTACGGAATATATTTATAAAAATCACTTGCGTAATGAAAAAGACATCGATTGGTACCAACATGAGCTAAATCTTATCTGGAGCTCTGGCATGGGATGTTGTTGCTGCTCTGATGTAACATTAGGGAAAGATTCCATGCGAATTATCCTGTATATATTTGTGCTATTTTTACATGGTGATTCTGCATCAACAAACTGTATGTCTGGTTTAAGTTTTTATATCATATCTCAGAGTGTGTCCCCATAAATTTTGATAGTGACTCCATGCATTTATGTTGAAGGGGGTCCTTATCCCCGCTTGTCCAGTTTCTTGATAGACCACTGATGTTGGTGATGAACAGATGCATTGGTTCTGTGATGACATCCCTAGTGTACAGACAGCACATTGATGTTCTTACACTAAACCATCTGTGTATATTCCCAAGGACTGTCGGGAAAACAACTGCATCTTGGTTCAAGACAGGCTTCAGATTCTTGCAAGAAACTTATATCTCTTGTTAGAGACATCAAACTTAAGAAATGCTAATAAACATTTTTGGAGCTGCTTTGAGTGAGTGAGGGAGTTTAGTTTTATGCCTCAATCAGCAATATTCCAGCTATATGGCGGTGGTCTGTAAATAATGGGGTCTGGATCAGACAATCCAGTGATCAACAGCTTGAGCATCGATCTGCGCAATTGGGAACCGATGACATGTGCCAACCAAGTCAGCGAGCCTGACCACCCAATCCCGTTAGTCGTGTCTTACGACAAGCATGGGTTACTGAAGATCAATTCTAACCCCGACAGGGACATGTGTACCAGGTACGGGTCATGCATGATGAAATTTCATTGTGAGTAGATATTGCATTGAGGTGCAATATGTGGGATTGTCACTGTGTACCTCAGTGATAGCTCAGACAATAGCTGTATTCAAATCACTTGTTCCTTCTTTTTTGTATCGGTAGAATATGTGTAATGGTCATGTAGAGTAACTTGGCTTTGTGCAGT